TGGGCAGTATCGGACTCAATCGGACATTTCGGAAATTTTTTGTTGAGGCGTAACTAATATCGCCTAGATTTCGGATTAGGATTGGGCGTAATAATCAGGTTTCGCCCGAACCAACTCTTAAATAATAACCTAAAAACAAATTAAAATAAAAATTTTTATGAAAAATGTGATTTTTTAATTCAAGCAAATCTATGGTTGCTAAAATTAAAATAATGCAACAAAATCAATTTTGTTCAAGAACCCGATTAAATATGTTCACTTGGCAATACGTTATGCAGTGAATGGGATTTTCGATCATTAGTTATGATCACTTGAGATTATTTAAAAGATGCAGCAAATCTCTCGACTGAGGCATCGAGAATATCATATTATAGGAAAAACCGGGTATTGTGTAAATTTGCATAATTATTATTTTTTCTTCGAGCACAACATTAAACCATGAAGCTCGTTAATTAGCTTTATCAAAATTTGATTTATTAAATGATTTTACATTATAAAGAACCCATGTTGACATTTCTTTGTTCATTAATATAAACGTAAAAAGAACTGAGCGTAACAATATACACATTAAGTTTGCCATGGCGAGATTTTTTTTTAAAAAAAAAGTTTCTTAACTTGTAATACAAAATAATTTGTTATATTTTTTATTAATTAAAAAGAAATTCTATAAATATATAACGTTATACAAAAATTTGGTTAAAAAAATTACAATTAAATAATCATAAGATTATACAGAATTTTTATTGTATGGTTAAATATTTATTGGTCACGAATCACAGATTAAATGTACTTACACCCCTCATAAACTTTATCTAAATATTGGTTAAAAATTTGGTCGAATTATAAATTATCCTTATTAAATATCACCGGCAATCCTCATAATTTTATTTTGTTTTCTCTTTTGATACCATTTAAAGCCAAAGATTCCAATTATTATTAAAGCTGCGGCAACCACGATTCCGCTTATTGTACCAATTATAACGTTAGTAGTTTTTGAAGAATCCGGAGCAGTTATAGTTGTATTTGTTGAAGGGGTATTCGTATTTGAAGATGGCTCAGATATACTATTAGGTTCAAATTTATCAACCCAAATATAGTTACTAGTATTTCTAGTATCTAACAAGTATATTTTGTTTGACTGAGAAAGTTCTGCTAATCCATTTTGATGAACAAGACGACCTAATAATTAAATAAATTATTTTACTTATTAGATAAGCCAAAATAAAAATGTTAAAATATTACGTATGAGGAATATTTACCAAAAGCTATAATCACATAAACTCCAACTAAATTTGCTGTATGATAAGAAAGTGATGGAAATTCATCAATATTTGATGACAGTTGCGGTTCGGACCATTCAAAAGGATTCGTTTGAGTATTCAAAACAACCAGGTCCGGTGTGGCTTTTATAGATTTATTATCATCGCCTTTTGACCCACCACTTATAATTATTCTTCCATCTTGAACTATATAAAATTAATAAGTTGTTAATTATGTATTAAACATAATAATAAATGATGAACAAAATACCTAATACAGCTGAATGACCATAACGGGATTCAATTTGTCCAACATTTCTTGCTCGCTTAAAAAATTTTTAATTAATAATTAATTGTTTTAAGTAACAAATTATAATAAATCTTTAATACTTACCATTACTGACCAGGTGTTAAGTTTTGTATCATAAAGATCAATTTGGTTAAAATCTATTTCACGTCCAATATCATTTATCACTTCCCGGCCTCCAATATATGCAATAATACCATTTGATAATAATGTTGCAGTATATACATTTCGTTTTGAAGGAACATTATCAATAGAACCATATGACCAAGTTAAATCACTTAAGATGACCATATCATTTAAAAGTATGTTTTCTTCAGTAACTCCACCAAAAACATAAATTTTTCCAGCATCATCAGCAACAGCTTGAACAAATGATCGTCTAATTGGTTCATTTCCTGCAATTATGGGTACACTCCATTGCCCGGATTTCGGATTAAATGTTTGTACTAGTGAGATAATAGTTCTATCAAGCAGGTCACCAAAAATAAGATAAATGGTCGGGTTATTATTATTATCTTTCAATACAATAGTAGTCGCCCAACTGCTTCCATTACTTATTCCTGAAGATAAAGTAAGGTCGGTCCATGGCGGAAGTCCCGAATCAAATCGTTGAGACACATCAAGATAGAAAACTTCATTTGAATAAGTACTACCATTAAATCCACCAAAAAAATACAACTGATTTCCAACTAGAGCAGATGAATGACCATTACGTTTTACAGGAGTAAATGACTCAACATCGAAAAACAAATATATTATGAAGATGTAACATAATTTAAGTAATTTATTATATCTTTTGCAAGTCATAATTTATTAATAGCGGAATAATTTACTTCAAAATTTTTTCTGAAAGAATTTAAAATTTATTATAATCCCTTATTTATTAAATTAAGTTACACCATTTTTTTTTTTTTTTTTTTTTTTTTTACATATAAGATGATATTAAATGCAGTTACAAATATATTGTTGTTGTACAACTATTTGTACGACCATAAGGCGCTAAATCAACCTACATACAGTAATTTTTTTTTAAATTTGATATTTATTTATATTATTATAAATTATCATTCACTATTTTATAAAAAAGTTTATATATTAAAAAAATATTTTTTTGTTTTTTTTAAAAAAAAATATTTGCTGGGTTAAAATGCCTCTTAGACCCCCCATTCAAACACACATTCAAACTATTAATAATGGTTTTAATTAAAGTTAAAAAATTTTGAATTTTATAAAGGTCCAGAAACTTTTTTAACTTTTTTAAATAATAATGTCAATCATTTCCAAATTTTATGTCGATCATTTCTAAAATCTAATTTTAGATTTTTTGACTGATGTTACACGAAAAAATGAGAAATTTTGACGGCCTAATTGCTTGCTTTGTTAATAAGATAATCTCCTATAAAAATTTAACCAAATAAAGTTCATATATCAAATAATAATATGAATCAAAAATCTCAATTTTAGTTAGTGGGGTCCCGTAAGGAGATTTTAATAGCTTAGCACCCATATCAAAAACATATCTGATATAATAAATTTTTTTAATATAATTTGTTATTTTTTATATATATTTTTTTTAAAAATAAAAATTCTACATCCACCTGGATAAAAGAATTGAGTTTAAATTAAAATTTACCTATACTTTTTTTTTTTTTAAAAAAAAAAAAATTTTAAACATTGCAAGATTATAAAATAGGATCCAAAGTTCATGGCAATACGACGAGGAAATTTTATGTTTTAATAGTATGTTAGGGGAGAATGCTTAATAAACCGTAAAATTAATCTCATATAACTCATGTTAGTTATTTGAAATTAGTGAGAATTGAAACTAATTGATATTATTTAAATGATAATAACACGTTTTTTATAGGATACAAATTGTTAATATTTAAACTTTTTATAGCGCCGCCATTATCTAGAGATGTTTAAAATTCGTGTACAAATAAAATAATGATTGGTTATATGTTATTTTGTACTTGACAAATCTTAAAAGGTTATATCACCTTGTAAATTATATCCTTTTTTTTATTTATTATAAAAAAAAAAATGAAAATAAGAATATTGTTGCTGTAAAATCGGGCGGTTCAATGATTTTGAACGAAACCTTGATTTTCTAATTACACAGGCGATATGTGTATCATGTATAAATAATGTAAAGATTCATTTTCTAAAATTATGATTTGAGTTTATAAATCATAATGAACTTTAGATACTTTCCTACAATCTTTGGCTCAAATAATTAATTTTTATAGTGACAAGATGAGTTTAGTGTAGAATGCAATTTCTTTCAAACATATAAAAAAAGTACGTTTTAACATCATGCAATTAATTACAATTGTATTAAAAAAAAGAAGTCTGTTCTTCTAATAAACAATTCTAAAGTCTTTAATATTCTTCCTCGCTAACATAAATTAAATTTTATTACTTCGATACAAAGGGGACAAAGTAAATTTTAAGATTCTGTGACCCGGCCGTGTCAGTTTACGAAAATTTTTTTTATAGTGAATTTTTATCATGTGACCTTACGTAATAAAATCGGCATATCAGGTTTTGTTTAAAAGAAAGCGGCGAAAAGAAGCACTTTGTTTTAATTGTGGTGTAGAATATGAAGGACATAAATTATGGTGAATATTTTCCATATTGTGAAGAATGCAGCACATTAATTAGGAATAAATAAAGAAGCAGAAAAGAAAAGCAATTTGTAACCAATAAACAAAGAAATGTTGAAACTAGCGAGTTGTAAGAAAGAAATTATACATTACGATAATAGAATAAAGCTTTAATCTACCAATAAAATTACATTTTAAAGTCACATGATAAACTTCCTATATACAAACTTTTCTTTGTTAAAATTTGAAAAAGTGACCCAGCCGGGTGACGTGAACCGAAAAATCAAAGTTGCATGGTCTAAGGATATCCGATTAAGTTGTAAAGAATAGCAAGGGAGATAGTAGGTAAAGTATCAAAAGTGAATTAATTAGGGTCAAAAAGAGAGTTGATAAGTTTCAAAATCTTTAATTGGTTAAAAAGGTTAATTAACCGGGTATAATTAACCAGTTCCAAACTTTTAAAATAGCAATGTTGCAATTTTATGTATAGCTTTTCATTTGATTATTATTATTTGATCAAATATTAAGATCTGATGTCCCCAAATAAGCTTTATTTGTTATGATTTCATATTGTTCTCCGTCCAAAATTATATCGATTATTTTGTATACGGAATTTTTGAGTAATAAGAAATGGTGCATTTGGTGCGCGTATTGGAAAAATACGGGTCATATTTTTGCATTTTTATTTTATAAATTGTTTTTATTTTAATTAATTTACGTAAAAAATAGGTACATTTATGGAAGAACCGTCAAGTTTATAAAAATTATAAGATTTAAATAAATATTTCCTATAAAGTTTTAAATTAAATTTTTTTTTTACATAATTAAAACGCCACTTTATTGGTATGACAACTTTCAGCTAGCTTTGCAACTTCAAGTGCAATTGTATTTTTCTTGTAATATTGCTCATCATGATATGATAAATAATATAATATTTATTTTTTTTAGTGGATCAAATACTCGGTAAGAAAAAAAAAAAATAAATAAAAAAGAGTCAAAAAAGTTAATAATAATAACAATAAACGGTCTTAAGTTTGATCCAACAATTTCAAATAATCAAAAAAAAAGTGTACAATAATGTCAAAAATGTCAAAAAATACTTATATAATAAAAATGCCATCAAAAAAAAACTTTTCATTTGTGATATTCTAAAAGCCCAAAATAAATATAACATATAATATATAAATATGTTAAAAATAAATTATATATCAATCCATTTTCTTTGAAATATAATCTATGATTATTGAAAAGATTAATTATGATAAGAAAATTACTTTCACGATAATATAAATATTGATTACTTACTATAATTAAATTCATTGCAATTATTCTTATCGAATTTGGCTTTTTTAATAACTTTATCTAAAATAATAGAAAAAATTAAGTATATTAACCATTATTTGATTACTGAAATAAACTTATCATATACCATCATCATCCTCAGTTAGATCATCGTCAAATTTAAGCCATAACAAGACTATTTGAGCAATAGTATCATCCTTTTCTGCAGCTTTTTGATACCAATAAAAGGCCTTCTCTAAATTCTTTTCTGTTCCTGCACCATATTTATATAAAAATGCAAGGTTATATTGTGCATTTGTATTTCCATTTTCTGCAACTTTTTGAAACCAATAAAAGGCCTTCTCTAAATTCTTTTCTGTTCCTTGACCATTTTCATAACATTTTGCTAAATTATATATTGCAATTTCATTTCCATTTTCTGCGGCTTTTTGATACCAATAAAATGCCTTTTCTAAATTCTTTACTGTTCCTTCGCCATATTCATATGAAATTGCAAGATTATTTTGTGCATTTGTATTATTCTTTTCTGCAGCTCTTTGACACCAATAAAATGACTTTTTTAAATTTTTTTCTGTTTCTTTACCATAATAATATGAATTGCTAAGTTCGTATTGCGCAATAATATTTCCATTTACTGCTGCTTCTTGTATCCAATAAATTGCTGATTGATTATTGATTTCCGTTCCACTTCCTTTTTTATAGCTTCTACCTAAATATAGTTGTGCAATAGGATAAATATATGCTGTTTTTACGAAGCATATATATCCTTCATCATTATTTTCTTCTAAATCAAGAATATTGTAATAAAAAAAAATCCCTAGTAAAAAAACATTTTTTGATTCATTTTGATTTTCTTTAAGCCAGTTAAATATGATATCGGTTGATAGAGTAGTAAGAGCAATGCATTGATTAATAAAATGCTTCACTTCGTTAAAAACGTCAGTTTGCATTTCAATCAAATGCATGAATAATTTATCAATGAAGATATTAATATTATCTATTGAAATAATCGCTTCTAACATATTTATGCATTCGTTTTTTGTTTCTGGTTTTGACATGATTTGATAAAAGAGAAATTTAAAAGTAAAAAAATTTTGTCTACTTTGTAACAATGGCATTCTTTATAGAAAAATGGGCGTTTTAGTTTGGTTACACATTACTAAAAGGGAAAAAAATACCAACGAAATGCATACTTTTAACGTGACACCGGTGAAGTTTATATCACGTGAAATTTCATAATTACTGCGCCGCCTCTTGCAAACTTTAGTTTTTCCAATTAAGGATCTCCGAGATAATTCTTTAAAAAAATGAAAGAATTAATTCCTTTATCGAATCAACTTCTAGCTAAACGATATATGAATTATATAATCATTATTCGCAATCGGTATTTATAATTTACATTTTTTATAATTAAATTAATCGTATTCTAAATTTCTAGTTCAAACAATTATATCTGCAAAATCTAAATCATTTAAAACAAAGTTTGATTCTAGAAGTTCTCTGTTATATTTCAATAAGTCTAAAAATTTGCAGTCTTCGTGAATTTCAAATAATCAAGATTGGTTTTACAGCTAATGTCACGGGACAGCTGATAATAACCGAGACTTTTCCGAGAACATTTATAAGGATTTAAAAAGCCAACCACATTATTATATAGGTAAAAAAAATATGTCGCTATATTCGGAACAAGGATTGAACGTAGCGATAATGTTTTTTCTTCAAAAAATTCTATACCGAGTTTTACCGAGTTTTTTTTATCGATGATCGTTCCGTGACTTTTGAAATTAGCTGTAATATTAATACATGAATTTCAGTAAAAGGATATAAAGACTATATAGAGCAAATTTAGGGTGAATTAGTATGAACGAATGAGATGTTTTCAGGTAAAATCTTGTCGTGTGTTAAGATAGCTGACGCCATCAATTTGCTCAACTTCGCAATTATTTACATCATAAATGCAGTCTTTGAAAACTTTTATATTATACGATCCTGGTAACACAGTCAGTCCTTTGCGTTTAAGCAGTACGAGCGCAACATATTGAGAAAAAGAACATATGTGGCACTTTCAACCTTTTTATTGATTCAAGAATGTCCGTCTGAAAATGAGACAAGTATATAACCCTTGTCCATACTCCCCGTGAATTCAAAATCGGTTGAATATTCTTCATTCAATTTATCAATGACATTTACAATATCTATGTTGTTTTTTTTGTTTTTGCCTTTTTTTTTATTATATCAAATCCTTTGAACGTATCCGATGTTCTATGGTTAATAACAAAGAAAGAATTGAATTTTCAAAATTTGTTTTGTGATTTCTTTCGTTTTTTGCTTTCACTTTGTTGAGAGAATAATCATATTGATAATTATAAATAATGAAATTTATTATGCCTGCAAAATACGATATAAAAGTAATTCTAAGTATCAATATCGTTTTTTTTTTAATCGTTTATAACTACTACCCCGACGTTCACCATTTCTGAGTTATAATTTAACAAATAGTAATTACTACTTTTTTTTAAAAAAAAAAAATAAATAATTTGCATCAAAATATAAATCGAAATACATGATTTTATACTCTAATTTTTAAGGCTTCAGAATCGAATGTTATCATATATACTATATATTTGATAGTTTTAATTGCATTGTTTTATATAAAATATGTTTCTTATAAAATATTTATTATTTATTAGTGAAACAATAATTTACCAAAATTAATTCAAATCTATTGCGGAATGTTCACTCTAAATTTATATATAAGTAAAATTAGTAGTAAATATGCCAAAAGGATACTGCCACACGCCGACGAATCTATATATATGGGTCGCCCATAGCAAAAGGTGGCAGTTATAGTCACGTGAAAAATTTGCGTAATAAACTAAATTTTCTCGAAAACGACCTTAATAACCTTGGATGAAATTTCGCAAGCAAAAGTTAGCTTCCCCTTGGTGCCTTTTATTTATCTATACCATGAAATATATAAACAGAACTTTAAATTAAAAAAGATTTTAACGGTTTTTATGATAATAAAGCAACGAAAAAAATTAATTTCGCACATTTTTTACATAATATATCGGTGAAAAAAAGACATGAAATCTCAAAATCCGATTGGTCGGCCCATGCTACGGGCGTCCCTATATATACCCAAATAAAACTCTCCAATAAATAAGATTCATATTTGGATAAAAAATAAATAACATAAAATAAATTTAACATTATCCAAATTATTCTATTGATAAAAAAAATCGATTTGTTGCTGTAGGTGGTAATAATTGATACCGGTTGATGAAATGATTTGTCATTATAATTCTCAGCATCTTCATAAGATGTGTAAACTTATGGTGGATCATATGACAAGGAATTCAAAATTACGTCGTCAGCTTCATCATTTAGTTTCATATTTCCATCAGTATATAAACTCTTGCGAGTTTGACCATTTGAAAGATATATATAAAGGTATGTTCAAATTGAATTTTTGATTTATGAATAAATTAAAATAGAATTCCGCCCAGATACCATAATTTCGTATGTAAATTGTTTTCGATATTTACAATTAGTCCTTTGAAGATCATTTTGCCAGGTTATCACGGTGTCAGGTTGTTACGATACCAGGAAACAAAATGGCAGGATGTCAGGCTGTCATAATAATTATTTTTTTTTTATAAATACCCTTAAACAGCTCAATATACACGCTCACCCTTCTTGTATTTTCATATCATACACACACCTCAAAACCTTCCTTTAAATCCCTTCGCGATATTTTTGCTTTCGCCGTTTTAACATTTTAATTTTATATTTGTAATTTCGTTTATTTTTAATTTCCGACTTTTCTTATAATTTATTATTCAATTTTTCGTAATTGCGCAGCAGTTTTAATTAAATAGAGTTTTATTGATTGACATTTATTTAGTTTAATATATTGACATTGCAAAAGTGTAGAGCGCCGACGTTGAGGCAACACTGATTAATTTGATATTATTAAATAAATATTTGTCACAAATACTTCATTTTTATTCAATAATTATTCAATAATACCTTCTGCTTACATTTAAAATTGTTTATAAATTCATAAACGAAAGAACTGAATACAACAATAACACGAAAGTGTTAAATTATTCACGTTATACAAATTTCTTTATTCAGCAAATTTTTGAACAAATTACAAGGTTTATCATTTTACATTTTTCTGAATTGCAACAACCAGATTGTCTAAAATTATCGCGATGTATAGTGGCATATTGAAATATTATATAATTTCATGACTTAATACTTTAACAATAAATTTACGAAAAATTTTATATATAATCTTATTTATCGAATCGAATTTTTATAAATATTGATTAAAAGGTATATACAAGGAGCGTAAAGATAAGATATTTATGATGATATACATTAACACACTCATCGAAGTTGTTTACTTCAGTAGAATTAAGGAAATGATTAGTCATTATTAATTCATTGCGAATTAAAAGAATAAGACAAGGAACATAAATAATGAAATCGGCAACTATTAACATTTGTTTTTTTTTTCTAACCAAAATTATTTTTATAATAAAGATAATCTGACAATTATAAAGTTAGATTATTTTGATAATGAATGGAAAATTGTACTAGAAGTTACTAACAAGATTTTGACTTTGGAAGTTTATGTAGAACGTTAGGTAATATGAATCTATATAATGATGACAATGGTTTAAAGAAATATTTTTTTTTTTTTTTTCCTAAATAGCTGCAAGTAATGCCCAAGACCGGTCACATGTTTATTAGCACAAACACAGCAACTGTCAAGAAATGAATCACCACCTCCTGCCAAAAACTTATACGACCATTGTTAACATGCTGATATGTGCATGATTTATTATAAGCATTGAAGATTCCTAAAATTTATGAATTGATGTGAAAAATAATATGCGCGAGCAAGTCACAACTATTGGATATAAAGATTATACACCTTACTTGTAATAAATTACTTCCCTCCCTGTGAGTTAATGGTTGAACACACTACTCGAAATTTGACGTTCAAGAGCAGAAAGTTCACCGGGGCTGTAATACTAGTCCGGCTTGAATTCCTTTATCGCCAAAAAGATGAAATATTACTTTCTTTTCGGATATAATTTGTAAAGATTTCTAATATTTATACGATCAGATAACCAAAATTCCTATAGAATCGAATAATATCAGGTTTCAAGAAATCACGTGTGTTTCGGCTAGAAGGAGAGGGCTTAAATTAAGATCGTAATCATGAGGCGTCGTCGTGATCGATGGACCGGTAGGTTTATTTTTAAAAGCAAAATTATTACGTTACCCTTGATGGTATAAAAATATTGTTGTTATGTGTCCGACATTTTCTTATTTTAATGATATTTAAATATCGTTGCTTGCTCACTCACATACCTACACATCATTTTTATTTTTTAGCGTCTCAGATACAGGATGGAACGGTCGCGACTGGTTCAAGTGAGATAAAAGAAGAAACGTCTCCACCTGCCCACAACCACCATGTGAGTATCATGAATTTTATGAAATCGAATTTTGATAAAGAGGTTTGAGATACATATCTGATCATAACTTGTATTAATAAATTTATATGGTTTATACAAACATCAATAATGAGATCAATGCATTTGTAAATTGCTATAATTAATGAATTAACCATTTCACCTAGAATACACCTTCTTATTTGGAAGAAACTTTGTCATGATTTAATCATTAACCATAAACACAACAATTTGTAGCGCAAATAATAGCGCGTTACAATATCAATGAATATTTCGAAGACATCTTAAAATAAAATCAAAAATATAATTGAAATTATTTTTAATGAGAAAAAATAAGTGAATTTATTTTAAAAGAAAAAATGACGATCTAACTTGCGTGCCTTAAATAGAAAAATATACGTAAAATCGGCAAGTCTTGTTCAGGGCTAATCTTACAACAAGGGAAGAATTATGTGCAAACTTCATGATTAAATTCGGCTAATTATCTTTTGTGTGCTTTATATTTAACTAATAATTTTAATAATATTTTAAGTTAATGAATAAAAAATAATAATTTTCAATATTCAGTGCATGTTTCTTTTATTTAATTCTAAAAATTTGTCACTCTATCGGGTTGTCGGGCTGTCGGCAACACACTATGCAAACTGTGTAACTTCCTATATAGTAGTAACTCACATAATTATAAATTTTACATAGATGTGATTTTTTTTTTGTATATTTTTGTTATTTTTATTATTATCGGAAATAAACAATTCCTCGAATAAAAAAAATGTTGAAAAAACATTCTAACAGAATGACTAATGAATAAATTTTGTTGAATTATTATTCTCACTTGTTCGTTAGCACCTGATTACGCTTGTCGGTGTATGAGATTGATTTCATGATGCTTACGTAAAGTTCTGATTAATTACTGTTACAACTGATGAATCGAAAAAGAAGTCGTTGGTAATATCTGTCGCAATGACACGCTGTAAGAACTTTTGTCCATTTATGGATTTCAAATACTAGCCCTTCCTCAATAACAGGTTAGCTCCTGTCATAACACTTATATTAAAATACATTAAATTAATTAATAATTTATAAAAAAAAAAAAATTTCCATTAAATATTACACATACGCTCCATGATATGGCGGGTAAATGTTCATAAAATTTATGAGGAATACAAGCACGGATACGTTCCGATAAATCATCGGTTAGTCTTACGGGTCATGAGAATTACATATTTTAATCTTGTAATAAAATTCGCTTGCGTAATCACAAATCCAAATAAAACTCCAAAACGCGAATTTGTTTTTTTTGTTTTAAAAAAAAATAATCATAAATATGATTGGTAAAAATTTAAAAACGATAAAAGTTATCTTTCTTTATAATACTTACTTAACCATGCTAAATAGGTCAAAATAAAGGTTGGACCGGTTAATTATCAACCGGTTAATTAACCGGTTAACAAATATTTTAACCGGTTATTAACGGTTAAAGAATTTTTGGCCGATTCCAACCTCTATATTTAATCAATCCCAAGAATATTTGCGTCCTATACAAATCAAATAAATAAGAATCCAAAATCTAAATGCATGACGAAGAAACTCGATATAATTCAAAATAAAATTTACCATGTTGCTACAAGTACGATAACCTAACCCCAAATAAAAACGTAAATTTTTAAATGACGAACGACCCAGTAGCTGCTGATTCGACATTAGCTATACCCAAATCGCCAATAAACCTAATGCAATTTGAAATGCCGTAACCGTAAAGATTATTATTTCCAAACTGATATAAGGGTGAGTTAAAAAAAATTATTATAAAGTAGAAAAGAAGTAAATCAATAATTTTAACTTACTTTGCATGAGGACTAGCTGCATGCACATCTACTGTCAACATTGCTCTAATGTAGCTACTATGGCGACACCAAAGTGATTCAAATTTCGATGATGCAACATATATCAATTCAGGAAATTAAACAGCATAAATTTATTCGCTTATTTTTTTTTTTTTTACCAAAAAAAAAAATTTCTACATACGAGTCTTTATGTCTCAAATATCTAACAATCCCATAAGGAACCCGGAACTTTTAGCAAGGAGGGAGAGAAATGATCCATGTATTGATTATCAAACTTTTAAAAGACTTCCATCGTGATCTTTAATAAGTGAATTATCATCACTAATGAGAAGATGTTCATAAAAGGCTGATTAATAATAACAAATCAAATATTTATAATTAAGATTATAAATTATTTTCTGTTCCAAACCTTCCAATATAGATTGTGCATCCAAATCTCCCTCATAGTATATTTTGATTTTGTTAATTATGAAAAGATTTCCGTTGATAGGAAGAAAAGTTGAATATTGCTCATAATCTATTCGTAGATGTTTTGAGCTTTTATACGAGCGGGAAGAACCTATTTCAATAGTATCCTTGTCAAAAATATGTACGGCTGACTTTATCACTTCAAGGATATCTAATGAACCATTAGCTTTCAAAGGCACATCTTCGTCAGGAAAAAAGCATGTCAATTTCTGTATTAATTGTAGAAATTATAGATGAAGTGCTTATTAATTCTGTCGCACTTCTCTTTATTCCGTTATTGGACGATGACGATGCAGGTGACGAAGTGTTCCAAAAGCTATTTTTAGCTTTGGAAACATCGGTCTATAAAAAGAAATGTAATGAGAAAATGAAAAACTGGCCAAACCTCATCTGACTATAATCATATGCATATTTTACTTACTTTTTTTGCTTATCAAGAGTCTCTGGGCGACTTCACGGACTTCTTAAGACATTTTTTCATCGTCATTAATTAAACTTAACATTCTAAAGAAGGAAAAGTGAGCATCCATTTTATCAACGTTTTCATAGTTATCAACTAATAAAGTTATATAATCATGAAGTGAACAAAATCAAAATATATTATATATGGATTTTTTTTACAGATTCTGAGTGGGGACGAACAGTACAAGGATCCGACATATTTAAAAAATTTTTTTAAAAAAGTATTTATGATCAAATTAAAAAAAATTTGTAAGGACCCTTCGATATTTTTAGATAAGTCTCGCGTGTTTAATGTTTCACAAATCATTTGATTCTTAAATTTTAATAGTTTATACAGGACCTGGAAAACTTCTAATAGGGGTTACCGCCAAAATTTGAAAAAATCATATGATTACAAACCACATGATTTTATTAATTATGCGAACCAAAATGGCAGTAAGTATAAATAATTAAAAATAATCAAACCATAAAAATTTGGTAACATATTTATAATAAAAGAACAATTTATTGTAAAAAAAAGATAATTTTAGTAATCAAAATTATACATTATTTAAGAAAAATCTTTGTAAGAGATAATAACATTTCAGGTGTTTTAAAATGCTGAAAAATTTCTAAAGCCTCTTTTGTTAAAATAAAAAAAGAACTTTGAGAATTGACAAAAGGAGGTAAATTAAAATAATATAAAACTTCCTTTGCTGAAATATGACAAACTAACTTTCCTCCTGCCTCATATGTATTTGTCCAAAGATCATTATAAACATTCAAATAAAGGTTAACCGAAAGATAAGACAAGTGATCCAAAAATTCAACTTCTTTGTTTATCCAAGCATGTCTTTCACCTCACTTTTCATACATAGAAATAATTTGAGCAATGCAAAGTTTTTTGTCAGAGTAAATAAGTAAATATCCATTTAAGATTAAAGGATGGATACTAGAAACATTTGCATCAATAATATTATATACTTTACAAAATATATATATTTTAGTTAAAAGATAATTATAAAAATTTGCAATACTATTATTAAATATTTACCATTAATTCCAACAGCTATTGGAATAGTTGCAAGTCTTTTACGTCCTTCCCATCGATTTTTTCATCTATTTACACGATTTTCTTAAATAGAATTATTTGTAAATTCAGTAATTAATCAGTTAGCATTATTAAGATTAAATGAATCGCTAGTTTGATTATTAGAAAATTTTTTTGAATGATGTGAAAAAGCATCATGATTTTTTCGAATATTAATCAAAATTTCTGAACATAAAAATCCCTCAGATGTAAAAAATTGGTCAAATTTTTCAAATTGTTTTTGAGGAATTGGTTTCTGATTAAGTATATATTGTAAATCGGGAAAGTTGTAAAATTTGTTATTTCGTTTTCATCTGCGAATTCTTTACTATCATCATCAGATTCATCCAATAAGAGTCGAGAAATTTCAAATGCAGCAGTTCCAATATTGTCAGCTTCTATTTGTAATTTATCTTGTTCTGATATAATAGAAATAAGAAATATATAGTATATTTAATTAACTAGGTTTTTATTCTTATTTTTTAGTAATAAAAAATTCTTATACCTAATAAATTTTGAATTTTATTATTTTCATCATTTTCATCATCATCAACTACTATTTCCAAAGTAACATTTACATTATCTAAAGAAAATTCAACACGAGAAACAAGTTATTGAATTGAAGGTATGGTGTGATTATTAATTTCAAGATAATTAGCCAATGCTATTGCTTTATTATATCCAATACGAATAGCTTCTTTAACTTCATCTTTAGATGGCCAAGTATGTAAACATTCAATAGTTTCATGAAGAAGAGAAGTCTCATCAATATCAAATACATAACCTAAAATTTAAAGTATATAAATTTTTATTCAAAAGCTATTAATTTAATAAATATAATAAAATGCTTACCTGCGGCTGATGTTCGATCTCTTGATATATCAATTAGTCCAGCACGTAAAATTTTATCTTGATACATAACACGTTTTTGAATTTTATAAAATTCATAAAAATTAAAATCCGCTAATACTTGACGTGATATACCAAAAATATGCTCAAGTGCCTCAGTTCCATGTTTCCATAAAAATAAAGGATAGTTAGAATAGTATTCTCGATGAACTAAAATAAGCATTATCAAAGATTCTGCCATACTAATAAAAATTTTAAAACTTTAAGTAGAAATTATACTACATTGCATATTATACCATTTTGATGAATGAATTGAGCTACTACGTTTAATATAATCTTTCCAAATTTTAAGAAAAAAAATAATGCATAACCATTTGAATTCTTGCTTTATGATCAATTTTTCGATTAAGGTACGCATCACATAATTCTCCTATTTAATAATAATAAATATATTATATAAGTCATAATTTAAATTTAAAAAAAAAAAAAATAGATTTTTAGTTTAATACATAATTTAATTTGTTAATTAAAATTTTGCGTAATATAAATTATACAATTATAATTTTTATGTATTATATTTTTTAAGTAATATAACATATTGCTTAAATTAACTAATTACTTTAATGCTATTAACATTACATTATTATTGTTAAATAGTTTTTTTTTTATTGTAAATTTTAAAAATAGCTTACCTAGAATAAATAAATAAACAAAAAGTCCAATCATATTAGAAGGAATATTTCTCAATTCAATAATTTGTGTCAAGTTATCTGAATGAAATATTCGATAAGCAGCACTATTGTCTTGCTTACCAACATTAAGAACATCACGTTTTAATAAGACGTGATTGTTTCAATGCGCAAGTTGGAAGAGTTGATCATATCATGCAGTATTTATTCCTAATGAAAGAAGTCGTGCTTCAGTAAATAATTGATTCCGCGTTGTCTTTTTAGCATGCTTTGAATCTTGTATATGAACTAATGGTTTTCCATTTATAATTGGTACTTTTAAATGTATATTATAAAATGGATCATTAAATGTAAAATTTGTTGAAGAAGAATTCATAATTTGTGTCTGAGTATTAAATTCCGATCTTGCTCCATCAGCACCCATACTAAGGATATTAATATTACTTTCATGTGCAAAATCTAATACAATACGAAGAATATTAAAGATTTGGTCTACAGATTTATCACCTTTAGTAGGCAAAATAGCAATTGCCATTGGTGGTATTTTGCTAATTGGAATCTAATATAATTAATATTTAATATTAGTTAAACATAAATATTATAAAATTTAAAAGATAGTCAAATAAAAATTACCTTAAGAACAATAACACGAACTTGTGTTGCAATTGCATTTTTTTTGTATTTTTGCATGTATATCATCAATACTAGAAACTGAAACCTCATTTGAAGGTAAAGTAGATCCAGTAATATAACCAAGCTCTTGAGAGAATACTAGCTTAGGACGAATCTTTGTACAATCGGTCATTAATAAAATTGGTCCTTCCCATTTTAACTCCTTTGCTATATTCGCAAATTTAATTACATTTTCTAGAATTAAATTAGGATCTGTAATCAATTCAGTGTTTGAAGCACGTATTTGGCTTTAAAAATAAATTAAAATATAAAATTAATAATTTCAAATATATAAAAAATTAAAGACAACAAGTACATACCGAATTCTTTGAATAGACATTCCTCCTAATGCCTTGCGAAAAATTTCATATTCACGACTACTTTCAGATAATAAGCTAAAGAAATGTATAAGATTTTCAGAATATCGCAAGCTTTTCATACTAATACCTCCATCTTCTTTTTTTTTAATTTGTAACATTAAGGCAGCTAATTCTGTAAATGTCTTTTTACCATTAAAAGAACTATTCATACCCATTTGAGCTAAAGAGGCCCACATTGCAGAGTCATTATTATTTGTAACCATACAGATCCAAAGATTTCTAAGATTTGCATTTGTCAAAAGACGAACCAAAGGAGTATCAAAATAAAATTTTGGTATATATTGAATTGTCGATGGCGTTGCACGTTTCTTATATTAAAAAAAAAACTTTAATTTAGCAACATTCTTTAGCAAATAAAAGGTAGATACAATTAACTTACAACTTTTAATGCTTCTTTTAATCTTTTATTATTTTGTAATTTATCACATTCGTTACATAAGCCTGATAATTTTGTTGTTACGATGGTACAATTTACACTTTGTATCACCCCTTCAAAATGATCTATTTTCCAGATAGCTGTTTCTTGTAATGCTGTATTAAATTGTTGAGTTTGATCTTTATTAAGTTTCTTACGAGAAAAAGGAATAGCTTGTGAAAACTTCTCAGGAAAAAGTTCTTTTCCAACTACTTCGGGTCTTTTTCCGCCACCAAAATAGGCGGAGTACTAGTAGCATATTCTGTATATAAATCACCAAATAAACCAATACAAGGTAAAGGTTCATCTAATTCAACTTCACATTCTTCGTCCATAACTTGGCTTTGATCAAAAAAGACAAATAAACTTGGCTGTTGTTCAGTACCAAGAATGCAATTTTGGCTTTTAATATGTCTTTCAAAATTTATTGTTCTAAAGGGACGGTCTAATCGAATTTCAACTCCACATTTACATCGAACAGTCTTGTCATTTATCATTTTATCAAAATTTGTAAAAGATCTAAAATGAGAAATACGAGTATCAGCAGTTGATTTTTGGGTGCGAGTTGGTGGCATTGTAAAGTAATAATGAATAAAAAATTTAGAAAGAAACAAAATTTACTTTACACGTGTGAAATTTATTTTACATACTCTGTAATCGAACCATAATTTGATATTTATCAATTATTCCCATCCTTGAAATTTAAAGAATTTTTTAAAAAAATTTTTTTCGTTTTTTATCCGTCAAATACAGCATATATATATATAGTACATATAAAATAATATATATGCGAACCATACCATATACAGTAACTTATTTATATATTAAGATTTGCGAATCATCCAGAAGCGGTAATATGAATTAGCACAAACCGCAAAATACTGTGACATTTTATAATATCATATGAATGCGAATCATGTCTTTTCGATAACACTTTTTTAAAATCTATAAGCTTTCGAACCATCTTTTGCGGTAACCCCTATTAGAAGTTTTCCAGGTCCTGTTTATACACATGTCAATTTACTTATTAAATTTATTAAATGAAGTCATCACATATTTATTATTTGATATTATAAATCAAGTAAGCAGTGTGTAATATTGGATTTTTTTTTTTCGTTTGGGAATTTCAACTATAATATAGCACTAGATTCTACAAAATGTAATTAATTTTTAAAACAAATGGAGCATACTTTATTACAATTATTTTAATTCGCAATGTAAATAGATAAAAAAACCCGCAACTTAGTAAAAAAAAAAATCCTTACCTAGATCTAGTTGTTATATTAAGATCATTTCCAGAGTTATTTTGCACCTACAATTTTGTAAGCTGGCATTTACCAAAAGTCGACGATAAAATTCCCATCAGAATACAGATTAGTGAGTTTTGAACAAGACATCGCAGGAATATCACTGAACGATAATGGATTTTACACAAAGATAATATAGAAATAAAATCTGGAAAATATAAATTTTAATAAAATATAAATCTACAATCTACAATAAAAGAAACTCGAGTTTGCAGATCTCTACCTATTTTATACAACCACAAAATTAGTCGTCCTACCATAGAAATTTTAAAAATGAACGTGTCGTGTACTAAATAATTATTAAAATTCTTAAACATGGAACGTATTTCTGTATTTCAAAATATTTTTCAATATTTTTAACATTAACCAACCTTTCGAGTAAGAGATTTAATGTAATCAGCTGGAAGTGTCAAAATCAACACCGAAGCACATATCGAACGTTTAGAGGTAAAATTTAGATAACAATTTTGCATCATAATATTTTTGCAATGCTATTAGCTAATTATTATATCATTTCTTCATTTTTAATTACACTTACGAGAAGACAATTTTGGCGGTGATGATAAAACAATCATAGAGTACTGAAGTATAAGCTTACAGTATTTAATATTACTCATAGCTTAGTTAATTGGCGAAACTAAAAGACAGGATATATTAGAAGCACGATCCCGTAGGCAAGAAATATATGGTTATTTGTTAAGCAAATGTCATTGGTATTTATATCGGAAATGTAAGGCATGAAGTTATGCATATTGATTAATTCTTTATGTCGATGCAATCAGGCCAGATTTAAACACGGGTTAATAAGGTCTGCTATATTATTTACACATTATTTTTTTAAACATAATAACTAATGGATTTTTATTTTTGTTGATGTTTAAAGAGGATTTTCTTACTGTGTCTAGCCAGGACTATAGAATTTGGACACGAAATGTGAAAGTTTCACCTAAATTTACGTTTGCACAAATTCAACCATCTACATCCCTTGGTTTTGGAATTCAGACGATCTTTGAGTGTCTGAAATTGAGATTCGAAGATCAGTTAACTGAAATAGGAATTCCAATTTTAGTCACAAAATATGTCAATTTGTTAGTTTTTCCGGATTTATTATAATATAAATATATTAATATAAAAAAGATTCCCTCATTTTACAATTTTTTTTTTTTTTTTATAAATAAATTTATTTTCTAATGGTTCCTTTCGTACCAACGATTAAGCAAACCTTTAATAGGTTAATGTTCATGTTTCCAGCCCAGGCGTTGGTTTTCATCCTGACATTGCTTGGAACTGGACCAAATTCCAATCGACTATTACCTTTTTTAAAATTACCGATAATTTATATATTAGTGCGCAAAAGCCCAACATTCATAAACATCCCTTTATTAACAGCGCTTACTTTTGGAGCAGCTTTGGCTTACAATGAGCCATCAACCTCTCCAATGGAGAGTTACTTTGATGATTTTTCAATTTTAATAATCGTGGGGGCATCGATTTCAAGTAGGGATGTTAAAATCCAGTCCGGTCCTAGTCTGGTCCCAAAACTCCCAGTCCTAAAGAAGACCCGGTCCATAGGACTTGAGTCCTAGGACTGGATTCTAGGAGGACCGCGGTCCTATAGAAATTAGGACTTGCGGTCCTAGGACTCGGTCCTATTGAAATTAGGACTTGCGGTCCTAGGACTCGGTCCTATTGAAATTAGGACTTACGGTCCTTGGACTGCGGTCTTATAGAAAAATAATCGTTCAAGAAGACGATAAAAGAAATAATCGTTCAAGTAGAACGATGACGAATCGTTCGACTTGAACGATAAAAAAATCATTCAAGAATAACGATAACGAATCGTTCGACTTGAACGATTATTTTTCTATAGGACCGCAATCCTAGGACCGCAGTCTTATAGTTCAAAGGACTTTGAACTGGACCGGACTTCGTAGGACTGTTTAGGACCTAGTCCCATGGGACTTTTTAACATCCCTGATGCTAGTAAATAACGCATCCAATAGAATCAATACATCTATAAAGAAAAATGCAATTTACGCAAATGAATAGTGATATTTTAAGTCATAGATTGGATGACCAATGAAAACCATTGCAATAAACTAAATTTAAAATGAAAAAATTTTATTCAAAATGATGCATTTACGATTAATTGTTTTGAGAAGATTATAGCTTAACTTAATATGGAAGCATTTCTGATGATAATAAAATATGTTAATTCAATGATATTCATGCTAAATTCTAGATTCCACCGAATTAAACAAGCGAGAATTAGGACGCTATAATCTCCGAACTCATGTACTGTGCCTTTTATTTGGAAAATCCTTTGCGTAAATTATTCATTGTTAAGGGAAATGTGATTAGATAAAACAATTAGACAATGAATCAATTAATAAGCAAGATCACAATAAACAATATAAATAGAACATCTTTCTTTCAAAGTAGCTTTCCAATTATCTGATCTCTTCTCTATAAAAAGAATAAACGCAAATATATTCCTTATCTTTTATCCTATTTAAGGTAAGAAATCTAATAAACGATATGTAAAATTAGACAGAATACGAATAGTTCTCTTTTCATTATCTAGTTCTCGTTAATTAACATCAAAATAAACTATCCTATCAAATAAAATAATTTTAGAATCTGATTAAATAATCAATATAGTTTATTAATGAAGAAATATTAAAAAGAAATACTGATTCAAAAACATAGAAATGGGTGTGATAACGTTTTAAGTTGCGAAATTTTAATGCGTCTAGTTGATAATAGCACTGCGCCGATTGTCATGAAAATATTTCGCAAATTATTTATTTAATTTAGTTTTACATTTTTTATTTAGTTTATATTATTTTGCATTGTTTGTGTCATTTTTATTATAGAAAGGAGTAGTTTAATAAATATAGACTTGTAATTTGACATTGAGTCTACGGAGTTCTTCCAAAGAAATTTTGGATATAAGTCCATTATATATATCGAACTTACGAAATTGAATAATAAATAAGTAAAAAAATATATTTTATAAAGTCGTAAAATAATGCATGACCACAAAAAAAAACCTAAGACAAGTAACAAATAAGTAATTCTGCACAGACTATAACAAATCGACCGAAAATACAAGTATAATGATGGAAGAATAAGATTTAAGATGAATTAGTATATACAAGTTTAAAAAAATGTCATCAAATCTTAAAAAATTAATCTATAAATTCTTTTGTTAGAACAAAATTCTAACTGGAACCTTTCAAACAAGAATACCCAAGATCTAAATAAATAGTATTTTGTTTATTAGAGAAATGACAACAAACTAAAAGATTTATGAGTCATCCAAACCATGATATAGAAATGTTTATTATAGTTTTATAATAAAAAAACTTCTGACGAAGTTTATTGACAGAAAATATAACTAGTTATTGATTGATAGTATGGACAACCAGCTAAAAATACATTTTTACATAAAAGCTTGATAATAAAGTTTAATTTATTATGTCATTATTCTAAATAATGACCAATATATAGAATTCAATAGGTTTTCATTATTATTATCGTTGTTATTAAATAAAAGGATTAAAGATTATAATGTTAAAATACATTTTCATATTTATTTGCTTAAGTGTTGAGTGTTTTCAGTTTTTCGTATGATTGTATGAAAAATTCTGAGAAAAAGATACGTTTTGTAACATAGCAGTTTATGGTTTTTATAATTCACTTTAACTATACTATTTGGTCTTATTTAGATTTCGTAACTCCTCTTCTTAATTTAATAATGATAAATTGGTAATACCTCTATAGTTGACAGTGAGCTTTATACTTTTTTTATAATAATGATTATTTTCTCGTCATCCTTTACAATAGTCTTCTATGAATTCTTAAGAAATTAATACTGTCTTTAAATGCTTATAAAATTATCCTATCCCTTAATGTAAGTATAAATAAAATTGTTTATAAAACATTTTAGAAACTTAAAATATTTTGATATCTTATGATTATAAGATTTATCATATTATGATGTATCTAATAGAAGTATTTTTAAACTTTTAAAATTCATAATTATCATTTCAAAGATGAAAGCTTCTATATTTTTCTTTTTTAACTGTCGGTCACAATTTATCTTCGTTAGTTTGACTTGCTCCACCTTTTCTTTTCGCATATTTTACTTTATTTTATTCTTTTAAAAAAAAGCAAATAAAAAATTGACTCTGAAAATGAATCGGTATTTTCAATGACTGAGCAGTGATTAATAAATTTTAGCCGTATTGGCAGAAACTTACAAATACCGTATAACGTTAACTACAGCACCTCCATAATATAGTATTCCCCTTGAATAGTATCGATTTAATCACAAAAATGAAATTTTTGAATAATACCTTGACATTAATCAATATTTAAAATTAAAGCTAAATGTATAATATTCTGATGCAAATGTACATTTTTTTCCAGAATAACCTCGGGTGCTATGTAAGGAAGATTTCCGTAATATGCTTCACAATGGTTTATCAACAGGTCCACAAAATCCGAAAATCACTAATAAACCAACCAATCACCAGTATACTTCAAGTATAATATATTTCCCGAATGCAAATCTCTATGAATTGCATCCTTTTCATGAAGAAAATAAATATCACTAATTATCTTACAAGCAATAATGATTCTTTCTTTCCATGTAAGTTGGTTATGATTTTGTTGTAAATAATTCCTTAAATCTATATCCAATAAATTAAAAGAAAATAATCTTTTGATAATGGTTCCTGAGTAAGACCAAAACATCGAACAAAATCTGTCAATTTATTTGCTTAATGTTAAATTATATAACAAATTTTTTAAAAAGTTTGTACCTCATCAAACCATCTTCTTTTAGCACTTTCACGTTCTCTAACCTTTTAAGTATTACTTTGCGCGTTCCACATCTCGTTAATTGCTGAGTGTTAAAGTTAATCCAATCTGCCGTATATATTTCAGAACATCCACCTTTAGTTAAATATTTTATATTAAATTATTATGTGGTATCCATTCAACTGTACCATGAGGAAGCCTTGTTTCCATTTGACATTTCTGTATTAAATTATCAATTTCGTTATTTCCGGACATCCAATTTGAAAAATTTGTTCTTAAATAATTTCGAATACAAAGTTCACAATATGATATCGCGAAACATTCTTGGAATTTTTCACAAATTCTATTCTTTCCTCCATTATTAAAAGATTTATTATCATCATATTGCTCAGTTAAAATTTTCAATACCTCTGATTTTTCATCTTTTGTTAGAGAATTATCAGCTATAATTGCTTTTTTTCTCAATTCATACTCTTTGTCTATGTCATTATCCGTTATCAAAACAAATACTCTATCAAAGAAATCATTAACTAATTTTCTCCGAATATGAGACATGGTGGCAACAAAATAGGAATTTAAATGTCTGTCTGTGAAAATAATTTATTGTCCATACAAGGAATATTTGGTATTAAATAGAACATGATCGACGTAAATTTAGTTTTACAATACATCTTAATTGTAACTTATTAAAATTATGCATTTTTGTGACAAATAGATACGCTACCATGCGCAAATACAAATATACATAAATTCGGAAAATATTCTGGTAAGCATTTCGAACTAATAAACAATATATAAGCGAGACTATAATTGCAATTTGCACAATTTAGCAAAATCATAATTGATGGAGGAAATAGATTTCATTAAATTCACTCTGTTTTTAGCATTGCACTTAACGTTTGTTACTAAATATCAGCAATTATAAAATATATTTTGAAAATACAATTAAGTTTTTCAGTAATTGTCGCTGAATAAATGTGATATATTTTCTGTTTTTCTCTTTAAATTATCCATTGTGTCCTGGACCTATTCAATAAGATTATATTGGTATAAAATAAGTTTATTATACAATATATTTAATCAATTACATTGCATGTCATAATCATAAATTTCATTCAAAGTAGTTGGTGGCTCATAATAAAAATATGAAAAGGATGAAAATATTTTAAAGAGATTGCAAAGATTAAAGAAATGCTTGCAAGAATAAGTTTTTTATTATTTAGGATACAAGTATTTTGAAAAAAAAAATCTCGTAAAGCCATATTATACAAGGAATCAACGGATGGTGGAAATGCATGCAGATGCTCAATTACGTTATGCTTTTTATTTAATTAGTAAGAAAATAAACAAAATAAAGTTCAATAACATATAACAGGTATCTAAAGTTTTGCAAGGTTTCAATTCTGCTCGGTTCGAGCTGGCTTGAAAACCTACTCCTTTTTTAATTTGTACTTGACTACAAAATTATTTCATTGAGTAAAACTTATAAATTTATTGATAAAAGTGATTTTTGTTTTTCGCAAAATGCTTTTGATAAGCAGAAGGAATCTTCGACTTGATAATTAATATCGTTTTTCAAAGTAAACACGTAATTTGTTATGGTAACTATTTTTGATAATTATTAAAAAAAAAAGTTGGACTGACCTAAAAATCTTAGCTGGTTAATAACCTATTCATTTGCTTTATTGCAGTAATAATGGAATAAAACTTCCTGAATTAGTTCAAGAAATTATTATTCACACCCATGATTTTGCTTTTTGATAACGAGGTAAGCTAAAGAATTTTGATTCCAAGATTAGTTGTTATACTGCTATGAATCATAGAAAGTAAGCACGTGTCTATTAGTTATTCGCTATCAGTGACTAAAAAAAAAATCCAAAATCAATTAAAACCGCAAAAACAAGATAAAACAACAAATTAAATTTAATGTAAACTATTAGATTTTATTATGTTTCACAATACATTGATATTAGAAGAATCTTCTTGGTATACAACTGTAATCAATTAGGATTTGAGATATTATTTACACATGAAATTTGGTTTCTTATATAGTTTAAGTTCATCAAATAGAGATTGAATCTTACCGAGATAAATTCAACCAGTTAATCTGTATTTTAATGTTTTTGCTTTCCATCTAATTCCAAATTCATTAAAATTATAGATTTGATCTTTATATTACATCACCAAATGCATTGCTTATATTTTGTCTAGCTATTTAGCAGTGATAATCGAAGACTATTTTTATTTATCTTTTAGTTTGTACATTTAGGTTTTATCAGTTTTAGCAATTTCGTATCAGCAATTACTAAATTCTGTAATTCAATAATGTGTGAGAACTCTCAAGTTATTAATAGATAACCTGACACGTAATGTTAGAAGCAATTTAATGATCAAAAATATCGAATCCCAACCAGAATTATAAGAGGAATTTTTGGGCGACATAAGTTGTAGAATTAATTTATATCGTTTATAACTTTCATCAAGGTTCTAACTTCATTTCTTCTCATCTTTTGCCGTAACTATTAAGAGGATCACACAAAAAGAGTTGGCTTCTAGTGGGTATAATAAAAGCAGCAGCTTGTATACCATTACTTTTGCACAAAAGCTTCACGTAATTTATGTGCTGTTTGATTTTCTCTTATTAGCTTATAGTAATTACGTTTATTATTGTCGTGTATTCTATTTTCAATTTTAAAAACAGTTTCTTCGTTTTCTATTAAAGCAGTGAAAAATATGCAATATAATCATCGTAAACAATTAACATAAAAATTATTATGATCTGAATAATTTAAATAGATTCTTAGGGATCACTTTACCTTATTCAGTTTGATTCTTAGGGGAAATATCTAATTAAAATATAAATAAATTCAAAGTCAAATCTATTTTCTAGCTTTAAAGTGTATACAATCGGGAAAGCTTTTACTATGATAATCTATTTTTAAAATAAACAAATAAATGAACCTAGTTTTAGTAATTCAAAATTTCCTAATAACTCTAATAACTAGATTCTGAATTTACCTTCTAGTTCTTCTGTTTATTAAAACTATGTAAAGAAAATAAATTGTTTTAAATATATGATACGTAATATAGATCATTCATGTAAGTTGTTTATGATTTTGTTGTAAATATTTTATTAGATCAATATTCATAAAACGCATTATAAGAAAGTAAAACTTTGTTTATAAATTTTTAGTGATACCAAAACATGGAACTAATAATTTTGATATATTACTTAATGTTATATGAGATTGTGCCTATAAATATAATTGATTTACTATTTTTTTTTTTTGGTTTTTAATAATAGTTGGCTTTTCTTATTGCGGGTTACATACCTCATCTAACCATCTTTTCTCAACTATTTATGTAGTAATACTGTTTCTGACTGACATTTCTGTATTAAATTATCAATTTCGTGATTTCCCAATGTCCACTTTGAAAATTTTGATTTAAATAATTTCGAATGCAAAGTTCACATTATGTTATCGTTAAAGATTCTTGATTGCATTCTTCACATAACCTTTTCTTTCCTCTATTGCTGAAAACTTTATTGGCTAACCTAAATCTATTAATGCCGCTGACTTTAATGAGAGATTCATTATCAAGTATGGCTTGTTTTATCAATTCATTCTCTTTGTCTATGTCAGTGTCATTTATTAACATAATTACTCTATCAAGTATCTCATTAATTAATTTTTCTGAATAAAAATAAATCATAATGTAATAAAATAGAGAAATATATTTTTGAACTACTAAGTAGTTGAATTCAAACAAAAAAATGTAGCGTTTAAATTTAATACAAATCTGACAATTATGTGTAACGCAAAAGTATCTTCTTTGTTAAGGCGGTCTATTTGTTACACAAAATAAGCACCAAAAACATTTAATGTTACTTGAAAACCTACATAATTGGGTAACATTTACTAAGAGCGTCATTTGTTAAGAATTTATAGCTCGATATGGAAATTAATTTTATTTATTAATATCAATTTTTTTTTTGTAAATAAAATTGGTTATAAACTTAAAAAATTTTTCGAAGTTTTTCAGCAGCTTCGAAATTTTGGTGTATATGATCGGCATGTGATTTTCCTCAAAGTTAACTTTACAACTTGCATCCTAAATTATTTATTAATGGTACATATGGGTCTTTATGCTGTCAATATACGATCATAACGTGTTTGATTTTTTTTGCTAGTAATCGGTAAATTGATTAATTTTAAATGACTAGCCGATCGTCAAGTCACATGTTAACAAAAGCGTTCATACAGTTTAAACAAAAATTTTTTTTTTTTTTTGTACCTTCGCAAAACAATAAGTCATTTTGTTTGTATTTATATGAATATTAATGTAAAAGTTGTAAATTGCAAATACTTATGTTATGATACAAATAAAAACTAGTTTTGCTCGACAATTTTTTTGAATTTTATTTTGAAAATGATGATGAGCCCTCAAGTAAATGCGTAAGTGTCTCTTTAATGGATGTAAAACTAAATATATTTGACTTGGTTCAACAAGTAATATTTCTTACATTTAAAGCAAGTTAAATTGTTGAGATTATCTATCCTCATAACCAGCATATTGGTCGGTTTGATAGGACACTATTTTTATAAAAACAAATAAGAGCAGTGAAATTTATAAAAAATATATCGTGTTGACACTTTTCAGTAAAAGATAACGGGCATAAAAAATATTGTGTAACTAACAAAAATCAAATTACCATAACTTGTCGTCTGATCCAATTTTCGAAATAACTTCTGCAATTCAATTGTTTATTAATCTGAAGTTTGGACTTAATAAATTTTAAAAACTATTTATCTTCATCTATTTGAATTCATTCATTTTAATATAATGGTTAATAAATTTAATTGTCTATTTCTACAAATATTAATCCAACTGAATATTAAATTATAAGTATTTTGATTGTGCTTAAATACTGCGTGTCATTAAAATAGTATTCGGTTTCTACATCTGATAGATTATAAAGGAAAAGTCGGTTACCTTACTTAAAACTTCCGGAAGCGATCCAAGCCAAAAGAGGAACATAAAAAAAAAGTACAATAAATCAAAGGGTAGAAGGATGAATGAAGCGAAAAAAAATCACTTAAAAAAAAATGATGCGGCTCAAGTTGAAGAGTAGCTCTAAAAAAAATAAAAAACTCAAACTCAAATAAAAGGTGGGTGAATAGATCAATAATTGCCCGGACCTAATCGATAAGATTAAATTTTTTTTTTGATTCCTGATCTAATCAAATTTTAGTTAACCAAATTATAACCTTATTATTTAATATTTAAGAAAAATTTTCGTAATAGTATATTGAGAAGTATAGCTATAAGATCTTATTTAGCAAATAAACCAATTATAAAGGATTTTAAAATAATTCATTATAATGATATACACGACAAAAAAAGGAACATAAATTCGTTCCTAACTATAGCACTGACAGTGACAAAATTTCCCGATTTCACAATTCATTGAAAAATAGCAAAGGGCGATTTTTTTTAAGCGAACTTTTAGTTTGATTGTAATTCCTGTATATCTATGGGTCATTTGCTTTTAAAGTTAACGGTTCCTTTACGTGATTTTAATAGAAAATCCCCAAATGACCATTATAAAAAAAAACTTAAAAGTTTATGTTCAATTGTATACTTAAAATGACCATTATTTTTTATTCTGTAAGTCAAATTTACCCTCCAAACTTTTTAAACGAATGGATTGAAAATTGAGGAATCGATCCTTGATACTTTACATAATTCACGTTCAAACACGCAAACATTATAACAAATACATGTACAGTCGCGTTGAAAGGCGACGACCGATTTATTTATATATAAATTTTATTTTCTGGATTTTACAATTAAAATGGTTCTTGCATTTTAAGCTCCAAAATATAGAAACAATTATTAAAAGAAATATAAATTTACATGCAGCTCGAAATTTATATATGTATTAATTCTTTTTTGGGATTTAAAACATATAAAAATAACTCTTTTGTACATTACAATTAAAATAGTTTATGCAATTAAAATAAGTTAAAACTTTTCTTTAAAATTATATGAAACAATTTATTAAAGTAAATACTAATATGTATATAGCTTGAAGTTTTCTATTCTTTATATGTTTAATTGTAAAATTTGGATCGGGCGTCACTTACTGACGCTACTGTACATATGTTGGAAATTTCCTTCAAGCAATCACATAATCTTAATCGATAATTATGATTTAAAAAACACTAATATTATTGAGAATATTTCAGTTCTAGCCTTACGATGCTTGCAGCTATGATATCCTTATTTTTGGTAGTCATACTGCTTTTAACACTTTAATATTATTTTTTAATCCTCAACGTTTTACTTTGCTTGCGGATTGCTAATTAATACTTTCTACATTCAGATTATTTTATTAATTGCGGAATAAATGTTCATCTTTTTAAGTAAATTGCAAGGATTTTGTTTGAAAATTCGATCCATATCTCTTACAAATAATTACATTTTCTTTATCCTCTTTATCCTCTTTCCACCTCCAAGAGAACCCTTTTGCACATTTAACGAGTGTTAGATCTAAATAAAAATTAATAATAACGATAAAATATTATGTGATCTAACATCAAGGGAGAGAAAGAAAGAGAGGAAGAAAACTTTCTCCTTGGCAACTTTGATCCCGATTTTGATTTATAATTAAAAAAAAGAAAGAAAATAAATCATACGCTTTTGATATATTTCAGAACTTGAAATTTGAAACTTATATGATAAACATATCTGGCAGCATTGATTACAAATTCAAATTAATATTTATATAATTAGGAATGAAGATGACTTGTGAAATTTCTTTTTCGTACCTTAATTTAGATGAAATTCGTTTTATTTATTATTATTTTTTTTTTTAAAAACAACTTTTGAAATTTGTTACTTTTTAATTGGAACTTTTTTGTTTAATTATATTAGAAGGATTACAAATTTATCAATCTATGCATTTACATTTCAATAAATTGCGCAGCTTTTCTGCGTGATAATTTTTTTTTGCAGATTCACGGAATTTCTGCAAATTAGTAATCATGTGCAGGTGGAAATTCATTTTAAATTTTCAAGGTTAATTAAGAGAAAAATTCTAAAAATGATCTATTAAATGCAAATTGAATTAGTGATGAATTGAACTAAAATATTATTATTAGTGAATGTCGTTATATTAAATTAAATTACTTTTTTTCCTATTAAACTACAATCATTAATTATGAAAAAAATAGAAGTAAATTATAAAAATATACATAATTAAATGAATGAATTAATTTATCAAATAAAAATGTTTTGAGTATTAATGCATTCAGTTGGGTTTGAATTAAGAGGCAATTGGGTAGGATTCTGCAATTGGATATGATTCAGCGATTGGATAACCACGTTCTGCAATTGGGTAGGATTCAGCAATTGGGTATGATTCAGCAATTGGATACCCTCTTTCTGCAATTGGGTAGGATTCAGCAATCGGGTATGATTCAGCGATTGGATAACCTCGTTCTGCAATTGGGTAGGATTCGGCAATTGGATATGATTCAGCGATTGGATAACCTCGTTCTGCAATTGGGTAGGATTCAGCAATTGGATAACCTCGTTCTGCAATTGGGTAGGATTCAGCAATTGGATACGATTCAGCAATAGGATAACCACGTTCTGCAATTGGGTAGGATTCGGCAATTGGGTATGATTCAGCGATTGGATAACCTCGTTCTGCAATTGGAGCTGCATTGACGGTAAGCGAGGTCAACAAAAGGAGTGCAAATGTGATTTTCATGGTTTCTTTATAAAATAATTTTGAGATTGAAAATTTTTTTTTTATTGATTCTTTGAAATTTGCTATTATTGACTAGGTTTGAAATCGTAAGTCTTTATATGAAAATTAAGCTTTTCGAATTTCCGTAAAGATAAATTATATATTCATGTCAATCTTTAATTTTTGCGTTTTCATTAAAAAATAAACAAAAAAGAGGAATGACATTCATTAATTGTTAATTTATGATTATCTCCTCATGAGAATTGATGATCGACGCTAAAATTTTATGCAATAAAAATGATCTCGAGATTAATTTGAAAATCCTTCTGACGATAAAAAAAAAAAAAAGGTCAAATTTCAAATAAATAAAAAAATAAATAATAAATTATCATCACCTAAAAACGAAAATTCCCAGACTCCTGTTAATATCAATAATTTAAACGTGTCGATATTGCTGCGGATTTGCATATGAACTCTTGATGGTGAAACTTTGTTACTATCTCGGAATTTAAGGTTTAATTAATAACAATAATAAAAAGTAGAATATGGCAAGATCAATTATTAATATTGATAGGTCAAACATCATGATCGCAGTTCACATGTGTATAAATCTAGTATAAACTTGTAAGAAGATCAAAATATTGGCATAAAACGTAAACAATTGGGTTTGTACAAGGCTAGATACCTAATTTGAATAAATTTATAAACTTTGAGAAATAGTGTATTTTATTCTATCGTTTTTATAAAAAAAAAAAGTTTTTTTACATAAAATATTAAAAATTTGTAAAATGTTACCGATGTAGAATAAATACATATTTCATTTGATTCCTCATGTTGCGACTCTAAATTATCTCAAAATAAAAGATATTGAATAATAATTTTGGCCAAACAATTAAAAATTAAGATCGTCAATATCGCTCCATTTTCATGATGAGTCAAAGATCATCATCGATTTCCAAATCTGTAAATACTAAAGTTATATAAATTTGGTTGGTAAAATAAAAATCATGATATTAATTTTCAGCTGAAAATTAAAAATTAACTCGATAAGTATCGCTCCGATACATTCTTTTAGGAAGCTTCTAATAGTCAAAGATATTGACTGCTAACGATTTGAAAATTATTGCAAAGGTAAAAGAATATGAGTTGCTTGCAAATTCCTAAAGGCTTTGGTGCATTATAAATATTAATGACTGAATCAGAAAAGTAAAGCGAATGTTCGCAACTTTTGCAATGGGTAAACTGCTAATGCACTTGGATGACTTGAATGAGATCTTACCAAAAACATGCCTTGAAATTCTGAATGGCCCCGATATTCTTATAATACAATACAGCATGATATTAAGCAAATTTCTGCATGAGACTAAAATGTTTAACAAAACTTCTGTAAGTTTCGAAAACAACTTACCAAAAAAATCAATAATGGTAACTGATAAACCATTTAAAAATTATGAAATAACTTAATAATATTTGGATGTTGCAAAAGTTATACAACCCTATATAAAAGAAGAAAATGTAAGAGAAGAGGTGGGTAGTGGACAATAAACCTTTAACACGACTTGCGTGTTCTTTGAGTTTTTTTATTTACTTTATTTATTTTTTTTATATATTTTTTCAATTATTTTTGATATTTTGAAATTAATTTCGATATCTGAAATCATTTTGATATTAGTTTGAAATTATTTTAAAAACTTTTAAATATTTGAAAAATGAAATTTATATTTCAAACGGAAACCCTAATCAGAGGTATAAATTTCTTAATTATAAATATATTTACTCTTCATTTATAATATAAACTGTTAATAGTATTTGATTACGAATATTCGTTAATAGCACAGTGGAATATCAAAATTCACTAGACTCTTAAAATTAGAAAATCGACGGAAAATGTTCTTTCAAATTAAATTTATGTTTTATTAATGAAGCTTATTATTTTCAACTAAGTTTAAATATTGTAAAGTAAAAATCTTTGAAATTATCTAACTGTTTCAAAAATTAAAAAATTGGTTTAATAATATTTAATTATTTTGATAAAAATCTAATAATAAAATTATAGAATTTTGTAATAGTAATTTAAAACAAAAAAATAAATCTTTTATAATAAAATTGTTAAATTCATTCGCTAGTATTTTATCCAAGTCTATTATTTGATTTTACTGAAAAAATAAATAAAATTCTATATAATATTTAAGTTTAAAATATTGGTGAATATATTATTTATAAATTTTTTTATTTCAACTTATTTATTATATTATTTTTATTAAAAATGAAAGTAATTTTTTAAATAAGATGATTAGTTAATATAAAAAAGTAACTATAATATTTGTAAAGAGAATGCTATTTATTTTATACAAAATTATTTTCTGTTTTTTAAAAAAAATACTATTACTTTTTATTTAAATTTTTCAAAAAGGAACTTTGCTATTGATTGCCGGTGATGATTATCACTAGTGTTTGTGTAACTCTATTTGAATTTTTACCAAAATCAAAATTTTGAATTATGTAATGTTACCTAACATTCCAAAAAGGCATTTTAGCCAGAATTATAAATTTTGACCGAAATTAAGGATATGATGAATAACATGTGATGAATATGAAATGAAACATGGAATGTATGATGTGGGATGACAAATTATTTATATATAAAAATCACGTGATACTTATAATGATTATCACTAGTAATATATCGTAATTTTCTTTCAAAAATATTTATATATTTTTTAATTATGCAATTTTTATTTATATATAGGAAGTTTAGATATAGATCATATAACATGCATAACATTAACATTATTTTCACTGGTATTAAAAATTAAGAAATTAACCAAGTGACGAAAATGAGAGATGGTCAATAAAAATGGAAAAAACTACAAATTTTAAGTAATTTTAGTTATTAAGTTAGTTTTATTTACATAACCATAATTAGCAGAATGAAAAAAGCTAATAAGAAATGAAGTTACCTTTTTTAAGATAGGCATTGTATTTTGCTTTATGTTATTATAATAGTTTTGTAACTTCAAATATTATCTCAAAAGGGGTAAATTAAACTAAGACAATACTTAAAGAATCACGGGTGAGAATTCACAATAACGTTGAAGGATTATTCTTAATATAAATCACATGAGGTAAACACAAAATAAACACAAAGATAACTCAAAGATATTTCAGAGATTACGCTTTAGAGACTCTAAGTCAAAATACAATATCATATAATAAGTTTTCTAATAAAAGGGATTGCACGAATGCAAAGGATCACAAATATTTTATAACAATTTCAAAGGGTTTGCAAAGGATAAGTTTTATACTTGGTTAATTATACTCCTTTATTAATATAATATATAAGTTCAGTA